CACAACAAAGCACGGAAAAGTACATCAAAATACAAAATAAAACGAAAAACACAAAAACACCCGGAAAACGATAAAATGGACCGGTCGACACTAAAACGAACCTAAAATCGACTCGAACACACATCAAAACACATAAAAAATAAGCACAAAAATATAACAAACAACTCCCCCACACTTAGCTTTTTGCTTGTCCTCAAGCAAACAAAATAACAAATAGCTCGAAGAGATATATCGAACGGTCCATTATTAACGAACATGCGAAATGAAACTCTCATTATCATTCGGTTATCCCAAAATCAAAATCCAATCCGAGACATGGTCCTCACATAGTGAATCAAACGAAACAAAAACTCGTCCCAAGTAATTCCACAAATGATCACTCGAGTCAAACCCCCTCATTCACATATACGTGCAAAAACCATAAATGATCTACAAAACATGAAATAATACACGAGATCAATAGGCCAACTCCCCGATTTTCTTCTTTTTCTCTCTTTTTTTATTATTATATTTTTTTTTAAATGAGCCACATTTTTCCAAATGAGAGCCGTTAAGACGATTATTACCTAGGTTTAACCTCTGGGTTTGTCCCCGAGTCACTTAGGCCGGTTTTCCGTGCTTGTTGACCCAATTTATCTAGAATACTAACCGAGTCAAGAGGAGCCTAATCCTTTCAACTCTCACGAACTCATTTCGTGAGCTTCTCTTTCCAAACGAGGTTTCCGGACGAGATTCCCTAGGTTTAACCTCGAGGGGTTTCCTCGAGTTTCCTAGACCGGTTTCCCGGGCTCATTATCCCAATCCACGAATGGCTCGGAATAAGAGGAGCCTAATCCGTACTTCCTCACGAACTCACTTTTTATTCTCTTTTTTTTTTTGGGAGAGACACATAAGGATACATCACAATTACAATACATAATCATCTTAACTCGATCGAAATGTACCACAAGTGTATAGATAACACGTTTACAACGATAGTCGAACATAAGGTAAGCATGCCTCAAGACAACCAAACGAGAACAAACAAAGGACAAAATAATTCCGTTAATCCACATGCGAGTTCCAATATCAACGAATCATCAATCAATTAAAGGAAACCGTCAAATTCATCAAGTACATCAAGCATGAACGCTAATAATGAAACCAATCAATAATCTCGACTCACCACTTAGCTATCTCGACTCTCGAACAAACATCAAGTTTCATGCGGGAGAGATGACACAAACACACAAAAACTCAAATAAAACCGGTTCACGACACGACAAAAACGAAAAATAAGGTACAAAAACGAAGAGAACATCACCTAAACATGCATAATCAAACAAAGAGAACATCACCTAAACATGCATAATCACGAAAATCCCTCCCCTACACTTAAAACAAAGCAATGTCCTCATTGCTTGACCAAAAAGCATAGGAGAAGGCACATAATCACGTAAGTTCATGCGATAAAGACGAAAACGAAA